ATGAAGTGAATGTTTTAAACTCTTCAGCTGTGCTTTAGTGTTATTGAGTGTTACTCTCAGCAAACACTAACAGCGAGGTTCATTAGTGTGATTATTGTGAAGTATTAACTGTTCATCATTGCACTTTAATCAGATGATGTTGAAACTCTTGATGATGATAAACAATGAAGATATTTTTACTTTCTGTTTGTCAAAATATTACAAGATTATCCTGCTTTGATATATGTGACTTCAAATAAGGTTAACACAAAAGTAAGGAAGATAAATAAGTAACATCTAAATGTAATCCTTAAGTAATCTACAAAAGAGCGCAAAAGTAATCTTAATGTAATCTACAAAAAAGCACAAGAGTAATCTAAATGTAATCCAAAAGTAATCTACAAAGGTTACAAAAATAATCTAAATGTAATCCAAAAGTAAATTACAAGTGGCACAAAAGTAATCTAAATGTAATCCAAAAGTAAATTACAAGTGGCACAAAAGTAATCTAAATGTAATCCAAAAGTAATCTACAAAATAATTTGAGTAATTTTAGAAAGAGCACAAATTTAAAAGTAATCTACAAAGGGCACAAAAGTAGTCTAAATGTAATCCAAAAATAAATTATAAAGGGCATAAAGGTAATCTAAATAGAATCTACAAAAGAAATCTAAATGTCATCCAAAAGTAAATGACAAAGGGCACAAAAGTAATGAAATGTAATCCAAAAGTAATCTACAAAGGGCACAAAAGTAATGAATTGTAATCCAAAAGTAATCTACAAAGGGCACAAAAGTAGTGTAAATGTAATCCCAAAATAAATTAAAAAGAGCACAAAAGTAATCTAAATATAATCTACAAAAAAACACAAAAGTAATCTAAATGTAATCCAAAAGTAATCTACAAAGGGCACATAAGTAATCTAAATGTATTCCAAAAGTAATCTACAAAGGGCACATAAGTAATCTAAATGTATTCCAAAAGTAAATTACAAAGGGCTCAAAAGTAATCGAAATGTAATCCAAAAGTAATTTACCAAATAATCTGATTAATTTTAGAAAGAGCACAAATTTAAAAGTAATCTACAAAGGGCACAAAAGTAGTCTAAATGTAATCCAAAAATAACTAACAAAGGGCATAAAAGTAATCTAAATAGAATCTACAAAAGAAATCTAAATGTCTTCCAAAAGAAATCTACATAGGTCACAAAAGTAATCTAAATGTAATCCAAAAGTAATGTACAAAGGGCACAAAAGTAATTAAATGTAATCTACAAAAAAAGCACAAAAGTAATCTAAATGTAATCTAAAAGTAAATTACAAAGGGCACAAAAGTAATCTAAATGTAATCTACAAGTAAATTACAAAAAACACAAAAATAATCTGAGTAATCTTAAAAAGAGCACAAATGTAATTTATATGCAATCTGAAAATCATCTACCGAAGAGCACAAAAGTGAGCTAAATGTAATCCAGATTGCATTAGCATGACTGTCGTCTCATGTGTGTGTGTGTGTGTGTTGTTGTACAGTGGAAGCGATGACGTTTCCTCCGTCCTCTGGAAAGTCATTCATCATGGGGACAGATGAGGCTCTGGAGAATGAACTGGGTCTCGGAGAGCTAGCCGGACTCACAGTCGCTAACGAGGCCGAGAGTCTGTCCTACGACGTGAGTTACTGACACCATAAAAACATGTTCATCAGCAAATAAACAGTGAAAAACAAAAATATCACACAAATATTTGATGAAAGCTGATGCTAATGTGAGATTAGAGTGTGTAAACGTGGGCTGTGCATTTAAGTGTGTTGTGTTGTTCTCAGATCACTAATAATAAAGACGCGCTGAGGAAAACGTGGAACCCCAAGTTCACGCTCAGGAACCACTTCGACTCGATCCGCGGGCTGGCGTTTCACCCGGTGGAGCCGGTTCTGATCACCGCATCTGAAGACCACACGCTCAAGATGTGGAACCTGCAGAAGACCGCGCCCACCAAGAAGTCAGTGCCGTTCAACACTTCTGTCCATCTTTTATTATTCATTTCCTTCATTTTTCAGTGGTCATTCGTAATTTGCAATAGTCATTTGATAGTTTTTGTTTTCAGCGTTAAAAAATAACAGTAAATAAATAAATAAATTTGTGAACAAACCAAAAATTTAACTCAACACGAAACAGTTTGAACTTGTACATGTCTGAAATGGAATAGCACATGCTTAATCCTCCACTCCCCCCACTCTACATCAGTAATGAATAATAATAATAATAATCCATAACAATAAATGAATAACGGCATTTTCATTAGAGTTTGTTTTGTACAGTGTGTGTGTGTTGTGATTGCTGATGTTGTATGTGTTTATTTCAGGTGTGCAGCTCTTGATGTGGAGCCCATCTACACCTTCAGGGCTCACAGGTCAGTGTTCAGCTGTTCTGTGTCTCTGCTTGGTCAGAGGATCCAGCACTAGTGTGTATGTGTGTGTGTGTGTGATTGCTCTGCTCTGATGTGTGTGTGTGTGTGTGTGTGTTGTTCAGAGGGCCAGTGCTGTGTGTGGTCATGAGCTCCAGTGGAGAGCAGTGTTTCAGTGGTGGGCTGGACGGAACCATCCAGAGCTGGAACACTCCAAACCCAAACATCGACCCCTACGACTCTTATGGTACGGTCCACTGCTCATGCTAAACATTCCCCTGCGGTAAAACATCAATAATCAAATATACAAATGTGCTCATCAATATTTTCTACATTTGTTTGTGTGTGTGTGTGTGTGTGTGTCTGTCTCTCTCTGTGTGTGTGTGTGTGTGTGTGTGTGTGTGTGTGTGTGTGTGTGTGTGTGTGTGTGTGTGTGTGTGTGTGTGTGTGTGTGTGTGTGTGTAGAGTCGTCAGTGTTGCGTGGTTCTCTCAGTGGACACACAGATGCGGTGTGGGGTTTGGTGTTCAGCTCTGCTCATCAGCGTCTGCTGTCCTGCTCTGCTGACGGGACGGTGCGGCTCTGGAGCGCTGCAGACACAGAGCCTGCCATCGCCTGCTTCAACACAAATAAGGGTACACACACACACACACACACACACACACACACACACACACACACACACACACACACACACACACACACACACACAGGAATAGACCTAAAATAATCAATTACTGCACTTCAATTTACAAAAATCTCTGTTTTTTGTGTTGTATTTATGAGGGGGTTTTGATGGATGCTGATGACTCTGTGACTTCATCATTGTAAACACGCCAAATTAATAAATGCTAAATTTGTTATTTGCTTCATATGAGAGAGGTTTTTTAGGTTTTCTTTCTTTTTTATTTATGAATTATTTTTAACTGCCATTCTTGAAATTAATTATATATATATGTATTCTAAATGTAAGCTAAAAGTAAATAAAGAATAAAGTATCACACATCAGTTCACAAAAAAAATCTATATATATTTTTGAGAGATACGGCTGGATATCAGCACTGGTGGGAGGCTGCTACGAGTGTAAGATTGCGTTTATACAACAGTTCGACAGCACAATCATGTATATAAATAAAAAAAATCAAACTCAGAGCTTTTAAAAACCCCTTTATATTAGGAACTACTTTCTTCCGCCAATTCATTCACATCTGCAGCTGACGTCAGAACAGCAGAAGCCGTTTCGGGGTGAGCTCTCTGAATAGTGAATAACACAGTTGTTGATGACGATGCAGCGGGTTTTGTGTGGCCGATGTGTACCAAAGTTGGCAACCCGGGGGTGTTTGCAGACTGTACCAAAGAGAGGGGTGGGTGAAATTACGGGAGTTTTCCGGAAAAAATAAAAAACGGGATGGTTGCAGGAGATTGGTTTGAAATACGGGATACTCCCAGGAAAGTGTTGAGTGTTGGCAGGTGCGTTACCAGTTTAATAATGATTTGATCTGCTGTAGTTAGAAATCAGACTGTTATAATCTTCTAAGCAGTAGGGATTATTATGCAGTTCTGTCGCCATCTTGTGGATAGAAAACGTCAACCGTCTTTGGTCTACTACACTACGGCAGGCTAAAGGCCGCCAACGAGCTCTCTCAGAAATTGTGAATATTTTAAAATAGGCACTAATCTTACAAATAAACTGCATAGTTGACATCTAAACAACTACATTCTCCACTAAAAAGCCTCAAAAGTACATGATGTTGTCTAACAGCAGTCATATTTGTTAAACTGTCGAGTGTCTCTCTGCTTGTTGCTGGCTGTATGTGGGCGGAGTAATACACAAAGGGTAAAGAGGCTGTACGGGTGCTGATATTACTTAAATATCTCACGGCTATCAGCCAATCAAATTCGAGAACCAGACAGAACTGTTTTATGTATATATATCTTCTTATATATGTGTATATAGTATGTATTTATATATAGTCAAGCCTGACATTATTCATCATTAACTTAAAGTTATTTTTATATAAACAGTAAGTTCATTTTTGACCATAAATGACCCAGGCTTCTCTCAAAAGATAATAAGACAACGTACAAGAGGCATCATTGTGGAAAAAAAACATATTTCTCAACTTTTATTTACATCTGAATAAAAACTTTAAGTCAGAGTTTGCCAGGGGTGTGGATAATAATAGGCGTGACTATATAAATATATATTACATTGTGTTGTATTGTTGTATTACATTACAGTATAATGTAGTGTTGTGTAAATAAGCAGATGTGTTGTGTTGTGTTGTGTAGAGCTGGGCGTGCCGTCATCAGTGGATGTGGTGTGCAGTGATCCAGCTCACATGGTCACGGCCTTCAGCAACGGCAGGACGGGAATCTACAACATGGAGACACGACAACTGATCCTGGAGCTAGAGTCTCAGAGCGCAGGAAAACCTGGTACAACACACACACACACTCACTCACACACACACACACACACAAACACTCACACACACACGCTCACACACACACGCACACACACACACAAACACTCACACACACACGCTCACACACACACGCACACACACACAAACACACACACACACACACAGGGGAGAATTGGGGGCCCTTGGCAACTCCAGCCATGAGGCCACGTCCTAATGCACCCTTACTATGTTGATTTAGTTATTATTTATTTTGTTGTTCTTTTAATATTACTCAGTCTTCTTTTCTGTTTTATCTTAATGCAGTCTTTACATTTTGAATCATTAGTTTTCTTAAAATCAATTCAAAATAAAAAAGGAAATATATATATATTTATTTATTTATTTTATTCTTTATAAATTTGCCTGCTGGACTGCTCCATAATTGGAGGTGATGGATATTTTATTCTATAATGTTATTATTGCGTAACTTTACATTATTATAATACTAATATATTTTAGTGTATATTAAATAATATTTAATGATGTAAAAAAATCACTCACTATCCAAAATATGATATATATAGATGATATCTTGTTGACTGCGCGCGTGTGTGTGTGTGTTTGTGTTCAGATGCGCCGTGTCAAATCAATAAAGTGCTGAGTCACCCGACGCTGCCCATCACCATCACCGCTCAGGAGGACCGACACATTCGCTTCTTCGACAACAACACCGGTAACACAGCAAAAACACACACTCACACTTTACTCCACAATCTGCTGCTGTTGTTGTTTGTTTGTTTTCATTGGTGGTCAATAGCCCCTTTCACACATACAGACCTTTCTGGAAAATTACCGGTAAATACGGCAAACAGGCTCTTTTTGAAAATACCAGTAAATTCATTCTGGCTGTTTTCCCGGAAAGAGAAGTTGTTAGATTACCGGTAATTTGCCGGAATGCTGCGCTGTGTGAACACAGAAGGAAGATTGAGGGAAAGAGCGCGTGCACGTCTAGAACGTGCTGACCTGAGACGTCTATTTTAGCCAATCAGAACAGTCAGACACATTCACGTGCGCGCAGTTTATGAGAATAAAACACTTTGAATATTTTTCCAGACACATTTAGCTGATACAAATTAGTCAGATAACGTTTATATGTTCATCTCAATGCCAACCGTGTAATTAATTATCGATAAGATGCTTATTGACCTTATTTTAAATTCGGAAGTGGGCCTGTTTTCGCGATTGTCTTGGAACTTGTGATTCAGTCGCCTATGGGAGAAATGACCCGGAATAATAAACAGCAGAAAACGGTCAAACTACTCGCTCTACAAACAAATGTTTGCATGACTATACAGACCAAGCAGAATAATATAATTAGGAAATATCAGTTTGCAACAAACAGCGAAACAAGCAGTTTTTAACGTCTAAAAATGAGTGAAAGTGAATGAGAGCGGAAGAATTAAGCCAAAAAGATTCAAATGGCTGCGGCCGCTCATACGCAGAAAATAAGGTGAATAATAAGCCGTTGTTTGTTTACTTTCAAGCTTTACTTCCTTTAGTTGCTTGACGTGTCGGGTGTGCCCATGAAGGAGTGAGCGCCAGCACACACACATATCCTGTACATCTCGACATGTGAAAGTGTTCCTCTATATGTTTTTATCGAAGTTTTCCACAACACTGATCCTCCACAGAGTTTGTGATGTGGTCAAATGTTTACAAACACAAGCGCAGCCGTTTACAGCTCATTTCTGGTTAATGATGTCAGAATTTACCAGCATTCTGGAATGAATGTGTGAATGCTCTTTTCCGGAAAAAAAATCCGTAACGTCCTCGTCTGTGTGAACAGCACTTTTTTAATTTAGCAGTAAAGTCGTTGCGGAAATTTTTCATATATTTACCGGTATCACTGTGTGAAAGGGGCTAATAGTGTTGCCAGTCTTTATGTAAGATTTGTGTTTTTGTTTTTTCTTCATAAGTGAGAGGTTTTATATCATAAGGTCCATTTTTTGGCTCACAATATATTCTAAAATGTTAATTTCCAAAATCTGAATTCTGAACTTTTTATATATGAACTTTTGTTTTTCACAAGAACAAACAAAAAAACTCCTCTCTTTTCAAAAAATCTTCTTTCCTTTAAATAATAAAGAGGAGGAAAAATATTGAGGAGGGCTAATAATTCTGACTTCAGCTGTACTTATAAATGTGATATTTATACATATATATTCCCAGTGATGGGTTGCAGCTGGAAGGGCATCCGCTGCATAAAAACGTGCTGGATAAGTTGCCGATTCATTCCGCTGTGGCGACCCTGGATTAATAAAGGGACTAAGCGGACAAGAAAATGAATGAATGAATGAATAAATATATATATATATATATATATATATATATGTGTGTGTGTGTGTGTGTGTGTTAATTCCTGTTTGTGTGTGTGTGTGTGTGTGTGTGTGTGTGTGTGTGTGTGTTCAGGAAAGCTGATTCACTCTATGGTGGCTCATCTGGATGCTGTGACGAGTCTAGCAGTGGATCCAAACGGACTCTACCTGATGTCTGGCAGTAAGTGCTGCAGTTTATATAATATATATATATATTATATTATATGACATTATATTACATATGCCACAGCCAGATCACCCTGCAGCCCGAGAGCGGTTACTCACTCACTGAAGCTGAGCAGGGCTGAGGCTGGTCAGTGTCTGGATGTGAGAGCACATGGGAACACTAGGCTGCTGTTGGCAGTGGTGTTAGTGAGGCCAGCAGGGGGCGCTCAGCATGTATTCTGTTGGAGACCTAACACCCCAGTATAGAGAAGGGGACACTATACTGTCAGTGAGCGATGTCTTTTAGATGAGCTGTTAAACTGAGCTCCTGACTCTGTGTTCATTAATAACCCCATGGCACTTCTGGTGAACAGTAGGGGTGTAACTCCGGTGTCCTGGCCAAACTCCCTCCATCAGCCCTTACCCATCATGGCCTCCCAATCATCCCCATCCACTGAATTGGCTCTATCACTGTCTCTCCACTCCACTTAAGCTGGTGTGTGGTGAAGCACTGGTGATGTTGTCCTGAGGCTGCCTCATCCAAGTGGATCTGCACACTGCTGGTGGTGTGGAGAGACCCCCCTCATGATTGTGAAGCGCTTTGGGTGTACGGCCACACATTATAGATGTGCACATTACATTGCATGTGCTTTACAGCTGATGTTTGTCAGGTTTCTTTAATAACACACTTCTGAAATGCGCAGGTCATGACTGCTCGGTGCGTCTGTGGAACATGGAGAGCAAGACGTGCATCCAGGAGTTCACGGCGCACAGGAAGAAATTCGACGAGTCCATAAACGACGTTGCGTTTCACCCCAGCAAGTGCTACATCGGCAGTGCAGGAGCCGACGCACTCGCCAAAGTCTTCGTATGACCTTCGCAAAAAACACAGAGAAATAAAACACACCTCGTCCTGATGATCCGGGCCGGCCTGGAGCAACAAAACCAGGAGCTCCTGATCCACAAGAACATCCCTCTAGTCTTACTTTCTCTGGGTTTCAGTGGATTTTTCCTGTCCTTCCTGACGTGAGCGCCAGCTGATTTCCCCGTCTTACCTTTATTTTTTTTTTCTCCTTTTAAAACGACGTGCCTTTTGCTTCACACAAACGTTTGCGCTCCGGAGAGGAATTGTTTTAAACTCACTCAACTCCACGTCCATTTATTTGCTCTGAAAGTCAAGATGATTGTCTCAGTCATGCGGGATTTATCCGAACGATCTTGGAGATGCATTCAATTAAAGGACTAAAATCGAAAGGCGGCAGATTTATTCAATTTGTACATACTATTACAAAAACAAACGTGACTCACTTTGATGTTTGAATTTTTGACGTTAAACGACTAAATTTCTACATGTTTGTGAATATAGATGCAGACGTGATTGAGCATCAAGGTCAGATTTGACTCGTTTCACTGCGGAATGGGTCGTTTTTTGCATTGCGAGATTATTAACGAAAATTATATTGCAATTTTGCGACGTAAAAATATGATTTTGTTAAATTTTGTGAGGAAAAAGCATCAAATCTCGACACTCCAAAGCCGTTTAGCATCAAGATGTATGTCTCATGATTGACATTTTTAAAGCTATACGTTAATAATAATAATATTTATGTAATGTTTAAATATAAGCCTGTCGGAGAGTTTGCGGTCGAAAAAACTAAACAAAAACATGACTCAATTAAATGTTTGAATTGTTGAGTAAACTACTAAATTTCGACATGTATGTGATCATACATGCACATGAGGATCCTATTTGACTGATTTTTCCACAGAATTAATCATTTTTGCATTGCGAGATTATTAACGAAAATCATGCTGCAATGCTAAACAAAACAGGCTTCAATTCTGCGAAGTAAACTATTATTTTGTTAAATTTTGTGTTGAAAAACTATCTCGACACTCCAAAGCCATTCAACATCATGACGTACGTCTTTAGATTTACATTTTTAAAAAGCTATACATTAATAATATTATTTCCGTTATTTTACTGAACGATCTTGGAGATGCATTGAATTAAAGGACTAAAATCGAAAGGCGACAGATTTATTCAATTTGTACATACTATTACAAAAACAAACGTGACTCACTTTGATGTTTGAAATTTTTGGATATAGCTACTAAATTTCTACATGTTTGTGATTTTAGATGCAGGCGTGACTCGTTTCATTGCACAATGGTTCGTTTTTGCATTGAGAGATTACTAATGAAAATTATATTGCAATTTTGTGACGTAAAAATAGGATTTTGTTAAATTTTGTGATGAAAACCATCAAATCTCGACACTCCAAAGCTCCTCAGCATCAAAATGTATGTCTTATGATTAACATTTTTTAGAGCTATACATCAATATTTACGTCATTTTTAAATAAAAGCCTGCAATAGGGTTTGCGGTCAGAAGAAAACAAACGTGACTCACTTTAATGTTTGAATTTTGTGGTAAATCTACTCAATTTCTGCGAGTTTGTGATTGTAAATGCACATGTTTGAGCCTCAGGATCATATTTGACTAGTTTCAACGCAGAATTAATCATTTTTCGCATTGCGAGATTAAAACAAAAATAATGCTGCAATGCTAAACGAAACAGGCTTCAATTTTGTGACGAAAAATATGATTTTGTTTAATTTTGTGTTGAAAAAGCATCTCGACACTCCAAAGCTCCAAACTTACGTCTCTAGATATACATGTTTTTAAAGCTATACATTAATAATAATATTTTCAACATTTTGCCATAAATTCAGTAACATTCAGTCTTTATTGTGAACAATATTGGAGATGCTTTGAATAAAAGACTAAAATCGAACGCAACCGATTTATTCAATTTGTATATAACATTACAAAAAACGTGACTTTGTGTGAATTTTTGAGTAAAGCTACTAAATTTCTGCCTGTTTGTGATTATAAATGCACACGTTTTAGCGTCATGATTAAATTTGACTTGTTTTACAGATTATTAACGACAATAATATTACACAGCTACATAAAAACTGGCTTGAACTTTGTGACGTAAATTTTATTTATTTATTTTTATTTATTTATTTTCCAATATAATTCAACATCATGACGTACGTCTCTAGATCAAAATTTTACAAAGCTATACATTAAATAATATTCACGTCATTTTTATATATAAACCTGCAGGAGGGTTTGCAGCCGACCCAAAAAAAAAACTGATTGCATTACGATTTGCGTTGAGATGATTAACAAAAATAATACTGTCGTAAATATCTAAATCATTAACATAAGCTTGAGACATAAAATTTGATTTTGCGATTTAAGAAATCATCGACTCTCAAAACTCAAAAACATCAGGACGTACATCTCTCGATCACGATTTATTTGACACTATACATTATTAATCATATTTACGTAAATTTTGCATATAAACATTTAAATTTAATATTTAAACTCAATCTGACGCCATTTTGTGTGTTTAATATTTAAAATCATCTCATTAATTAACCTACAAACATGGAGTAAACAAGTTCAGAATATTTGACGCATTTTATGTCGATAAATCTTGCGTCGTTTTGACGCGTACAATGATCCGGATCTCTATATTTGTGGGAAATCTGTTGATGTTTATTTATTTTTGGCCTTGTTTTTTCTGTAATGCCAAACGTGAGCGTCAGGAGCGGTTAAATAAGACGTATAACTCACCTTCGCTTTTACGTTTCATATGTGAAGGTGTGTGTTTTTAATGGCGGTGTGGCTGGTGGGCAGCTCCAGGATTACTTTTAATTTGTTTTTGTTTTTTAACTGGTCTGTGATTACTTGAACTCTCTAGGTGTGTGTGTGTGTGTGTGTGTGTGTGTGCAGGTGTGTGTGCGTGTTTTGAACTGCTAGCATAGAGATTTTCTGCTTTTATTGGGAATGGTTTGCCTTTAACTGATGCCATGAGCACTACAGGAGCGCAGTGTTTGTGCGTTTCCCAGTGGAAAGAGGACGTTTGCTGTTTTACCAAATGCTGTTAAAGGACTAGTTTAGCATGGTGAAATCTGCTAGCATTTACTCGCCCTCGTGTGTTTTCTGCAGTATTGATTGCATTTATATCACATGATGAAATACGCTGGTTTTGACTTCCTCTCAGATAATTCTGACATTTAATTTCTTGCCAAGTGCGAGGGGAAATAATCTCAATTTTAAGGGTTTTACTGCAAATTGTAAATCTTTAAAACATCTAAATTTAGGAGGATTTTAAGATACAAATTCAGAATTGCATTGAAAAAACAGAAGTTTGGGGTTTTAGGTTGCAAATCTTCTCATTTTTTAACTTTGCTAATATTTTTGTCAATTTGTTAAATTATACAGGTGCAAAACTCACATTTTTGAGAGAAAATGATCATAATCTTGAGAAAACATCAGCAGTTGATATCTGAAAAATCAAACTTTTTTGTTTTTGTAGAATTGCAGGACATTTCTGAGATTTTCTCCTGCAATTTTGACGTATAATTGCTCTCGTTTCTGAGAACCTGCGCGTTTATGAAGTTTTCTTGGACTTCTGTTTATTACATCTTGCCATTTGTTTTCCTCAAAATTGCAATGCAAAAATACAAAGAAATACAAATAATAAACAAAATTATATAAAACAATTAAAATAAAAAGTTTTATTAAACGTTCTAAAGTTTTTCTTTTTAAGAATTGCACCTTTATTTCAGTTTCTCACTATTGCAAGTTGACTTTTTAAAATTGCGAAGCTACAAAGTCTTAATTCACAATAAATTATAGATTGCGTTTATATCGCGTGATAAAATACGGTCATTATGACTTCTCATCACATAATTCTGACATTAATTTTCTTGCCAAGTTTAAGAAAAAAGCTGAAAAACTCTTAAGAGCCACAATTTGTGAGCTTTCAGTTTATATGTTAAGCTTTTTGCTCAATTGCAATTGTGATTTTGTACATTAAAATTGCACAAAAATATCATGAGAGTAACTCAAAATAAAAGCCCTCTGAGTTTTGGTTGCGTTTTTTTTCTCAGAATTTAAAATTGCTCACATTTTTGAGAAAAAAAAAGAGCAAATTGTGAGACATGAACTCAAAAAGGACTCAGTCTTTGCAATAGTTTTTCTCTATTGTGAGTTTAGGTCTTGCACTTTGAGAGTTTTATTTCCTCAGAATTACAAGTGAGAATCACATTAATGAAAATGAGTTTAGGGGGAATTTTAAGACCAATTCACAATTGTCTGGTTTTGGGGTTCTTTGGGGAATCTTCATTTTCTGCATTTGCTATTATTTTTGTCATTTTTTTCCACATTTTTTTTGCAATCTGAGAAAAAGATTATAATTTTCAGAAAACATTAGAAGTTTATATTTTAAAAATCAAACAATTTGTGAGCTTTCAGTGTATATTTTAACTCTATTTCTCAGTTGCAGTTGTGACTTTGTACGTTAAAATTGGAAAAAGATATCATGAGAGAATTGCAAATTAAAAGTCCTTTGAGTTTATATCTTATGGTTCCAAATTTCAGAGAAAAAAAAGCAAAAACAAATTGTGAGATATTTTTGCAACGTTATTTCTCACTGTTGTGGGTTCAGATCTTGCAGTACGAGAGTTTTTTCCTCAGAAATACAATTAACAATAAAGAGCTGCAATTTAGAACAATGAAAAATCTGAATTTTGAGGGAATTTTAGGATTCAAATTCTCACAATTGCAATGAAATATTGAGATTCTGGGGTTTTAGGTTGCAAATCTTTTTATTTCTTACATTTGCTTATACTTCTGTCATTTATTTATTATATAAAAATAAAATAATAATAAAAGTGCTAAAAATCTGAGAAAAAAATCACATTTTTGAGAGAAAGAGATAAAACGTTTGAGAAAACAGAAGTTTATATCTGAAAACTTTTCTTTTTTCACAGAATTGCGAGACATTTTTGAGTTTAATCATATGTTTATTATATAATTCCTCCTGTTTCTGAGAACGTGTGTTTTCCTGCACTTGTTTATTACATCTTCAAATGATTTTTTTCTCAAAATTGCAATGCACAGATACAAAGGTGCAACCGTGAAAATAAAAAACAAGTTACTAGGTTTTTCCTTTTCAGAATTGCAGCAGTTTCTCGTTACTTGCGAAGCTACAAAATCGTAATTCACGATAAAATATAGATTACGTTTATATCACATGATAAAATAAGCTTGTTATGACACTTCATCACATAATTCTGACATTTATTTTGCAAAGTGTAAGAAAAAAAAAGCAAAATCTTGAGAACTTATAACTGCTAAGCGTTCAGTTTATATTTTGCTATTTGAACTTATTTCTCCTTTGCAATTGTGAGTTTGTAAATTAAAATTGCAATCAACAAATCTTAATCATCATTAAATATTGCGCTTTTATTTCAGTTTCTCACTGTTGCAAGTTTGCTTTTTAATTTGCAAAGCTACAAAGTCTTAATTCTAAGAAAGTTCTGCATTCCTTATTTTTAATAACGTCATTTGTCCACACGGGGGTGATGTAAATCCTTCATTTTTCATATTCAGAATATTCTACTCCTTTAACCGTGAGCTCTGGGATGTGTTCGGGAAGCGTGAGTGAGTGTGTGTGTGTGTGTGTTTGTGTGCGCGTGTGTTTTCGTACTAGTAAAGATATTTTCTGATTTCGTTCATTTTGGTGCGTATTAATTTTAGATATAAGAGAGAATCTTCTGGATATGTATAGTTTTAAAGTATTGATCGCGGATGTATTTATGAAGCAGAATACGCTGTATATTAACCTGCCAATCCACTGCGGAAGAAGCGGATAATAAGGATAATAGTGTAGTTGGCGCCACCTGCTGGTCAGAGATGGAGACTCCAGATGATTGGTTACGGATCCATTAATGTGGAAAACAGCGGAGGGAGGCGGTGCGATGTGATTGGACGGTCTGGCGATGATGTCATGAGCAGGCACTGACCTTTGACCCCTCTGCTTGTATAGAGAGATTGTGTCTGGACAGATTGTGTTAATAATAAATGCTATACTCCTCCTGTACATATTTTATTATTGATATTACAGTTTATTCTTGATTTCTTGTTGTATTCTCTTCTCTCTTTTTTTCCTCAGATGGACATTTATCAATATAATACAATAATAAAAGAATATGTTGTATTTCACACGTGTTTGGTGTGCTTTTTCTGGAAAATCTGTTGGATGTGTAAATGATTAAATATATTTGTGTAGGGACAGGTTTTACCGCAACGATTTTACAAGGAAAGCAGAATTGTAAGATGTCGATGTTGAATTTTATTGTCGGGGGGTTGTCATTGCAAGAATTTCTTAATTAACGCGGAAAACTTTAATTGTCATCATTGTGAATTTACTTTTTAACTGTAATTTTTACTGTAATTCGAAGTTTACAACCCCCATTTCAGACTTTTTTAACTGTAATTTAGATTAATGCTTCATAACTCACACTTTTTACTGTAATTCTGAGTTTACGTCTCATAATTCTGACTTATTTTACTGTAATTCTGGGTTTACGGCTACTGAGTTTACGGCTCAGAATTACAGTAAAATAAGTCTGAATTATGAGTTTACGTCTCATAATTTAGTCTTTTTTATACTGTAATTGAGTTACGTCTCATAATTCAGAATTATTTTACAGTAATTCTGAGTTTACGTCTCATAATTCAGAATTATTTTACTGTAATTCTGAGTTTACGTCTCATAATTCAGAATTATTTTACTGTAATTCTGAGTTTACGTCTCATAATTCAGACTGTTTTTACAGTAATTCTGAGTTTATGTCTCATAATTCAGACTAATTTTACAGTAATTCTGAGTTTACGTCTCATAATTCAGACTGTTTTTACAGTAATTCTGAGTTTACGTCTCATAATTCAGACTGTTTTTACAGTAATTCTGAGTTTACGTCTCATAATTCAGACTTATTTTACTGTAATTCTGAGTTTACGTCTCATAATTCAGACTGTTTTTTTACTGTAATTCTGAGTTTACGTCTCAAAATTCTGAAAAATTTTTATTGTAATTCTGAGTTTCCCAATGTGCTTTTTTAAACTGTGATTTCAATTTTGTCTAAAACTTCCAACTCTTTTTTTTTTTTTTATCGCAGAATTGTTTAAACAATTCTGAGAGACAAAAAGCTGACTTGTGAGACAAAAGCTCAGAATTGATTTAAAAATAGCTTAAAATGTTAAGATATAAGTCTTTATTTTAAGTCAGAGTTGTAACATAAACTCGACATTTCACTATAAAATAAGTCAGTTTGTAAGATGTAAGCTCAGAAGTGTAATGTTAAACAGTGGTGTAGTATAGTAAAACCCTAACTATGCACTCAGCATTTAACATTTACAAACTTGTGTATTTTTAAAGGGTTCATGGCTGACATGGATCTCTTCACTGGAAAAATGAACAGACCATCTTTGACATGCTGTCTTTGATAAACTAATAACTTATGCTGTACAGTATATTAATAGCGTTATTTGTGCTGCAGTAGCTCAAAGCAGCCGCTCGAGGGCGCTAAAGCGTTCATATCACTACAACTAAAGTATACTGATTCAGAGAGAGATGGCTTTGTATACTTATATAATATTATCTATTACTTACACAATGTATTAAGTAAATAATGACACTAATGACAGTGTTTTTTGTGCTCAAAATAACAAAAAAGCCGTGTTTTCAGACATGTTTGTATTGTTGTTGTTTAACATAATACCTGTTACTGAACTTCAGAATTAAATATTTGCTGGAATAATGCTTTTTTTCAGTTAAAATATTAATTGTTCTGACACACAAACAATATTAGATTCTCTAAATCACAATATTTTTATTTGAGGAATTGGGAATAAATGTTTTTACATAATAACAGAAGAATATTTGTTTCTAAAACACACATAATAAACCTAAAAAATCCAAATTATGAAACTACAATTTGCATGATCATTTTACAAATAATTTAGAGATTTTATGAGCAATAAATGGGTATGATGATGCTGAAAATGAAACGTCACATCACAAGAATAAATGACACCACTCAACATTATAATGACATTTACACACAGAAATCAGCTATTGTACACTGTAATATTTCACAATTTATATACAGTTTTTCTGATCAAATGCAGCTTTGATCACACACACACACACATACGTACACGGGAACAGAACACACACACATCGTGTTGTTTTGTTGTTGTTGTTGAGGAAAATAAAGAAACAAAGTATTTTTGAAGAGAAAAAAGATTTTTGAAAAACAAAAAGTAAAATAAGACGGCTGTTTTTGAAGATGAAAATGTTTTGAAGAATGAAAAAATGAGGAGAAATATAATTAAGACAGATTTAAATAACAGGAAGACAGAACCGTACTGAAAGACGAGGGATTGTTAAATGGGGGAAATGTAGAGAAAATAAAGGAAAAGGAAAATGTTTTCATGGAAAATTTACTTAAAATGAAAAAGTTAAGAGAAATTAATAAAAAACTAAACCAGATGAAACTTTTTTTTTAAGGGTAAATATTAGAGAAATTGGCAGAAGAGTATTTTTATGACAATGTACAGAAATACATCATTCTCCAAGAGCAACAGGGTTTTTCAGGTTTTTTTTTTTTTTTTTTTTAAGAAAAATGTAGAAAGAAAACTATTTTAAAGAACAAAGAAAGTAAAAGATGTTTGACAATGAAAAGAGACGTGTTTTATAGAGGAAACACAATTTTTTTGAATAAAAAAAAGTGTCAATTCTATATTTAAAATAAGAAAAAAAGAATTTATGAAATTAAAAAGTGAAAAGAGAAAAAATCTGGATTTTACCTGAAACTAAAATTGGGCAGAGCAGAAAAACCAGGTTTAATGAAGAAAGAAAAACGTAAGGCAGAACATTTAAAGCTTTTTTAAAAGAAAATATTTTTAAAAGAAATAAATCAGTTTATGTTCACACATCTCCAACAGTGTTTAAGAGAAAAACAAAAAACTGCAGGAAAAGCACAAAGCGTCTTTATTATGCTGCGATCACACCAGACGCGGAAGAAGCGGCGAGCGCGAGTGATTTACGTTAAGTCAATGCAAAGACGCGAACAGACATCCTGCGGCGCGATACGCACAAATGAAGCGGCGCGAGTTGAGCGTTTCCCACGAATTGCTCGAGTTGTTAAAATCTGAACTTCTCCAAGCAGATAGTAGCCCTGGCCATGATGCGAAAGCTCGTCTATTGCTCAGTGAATTTGACGTGTGAATGAAGCGAGTAAACTCAATCTGTTCAGGCGTCTACGCGCAAATAGCATGATTTATCCGCGCGTACCGCGTCTGGTGTGAACACAGCATTAAACACTCAAAACATGACATTTAAAATGAGCTGAAACAGTTCTTGAGTTTTTGGGTTGGACGACTGAACTGCTTTAAGTTCAATCCACTCACATTTGTAAAAACAGGTCATCTGTGTGCAACCATCTCAGAGCCGCACACACTCTGACTCCGCCTCCGGCTCTGGAACGTCAATAAAGAACAGCTGTGGGCGGGGCTGAGGGGGCGGAGTCTCATGATGACTGCCCACTCCTGAGTCTGGGCTGGGGGCGTGTCCAGTGCAGTGGGCGGGGCCAGCGTGTGGTTTGCTGTGGTTGTTGTAGTTTTTGAGTGCGATCTGCGGGTGCGGTGTGTGCGCCGGGGCCCCGGGCGGCTCCGCTCGGCCCCGCAGACGCTTGAAGCGCTTCAGACGCACCGGGTCTCGGCCTTCACGACCGCAGGGCAGCAACACACTCACATCCTTGCGGAACTTGGAGCTCAGGCCGAAGTAGATGAGCGGGTTGTAGAAGCTAGCAGACTTGGCGAAGAGTCGCGTGAAGATGCTGGTCAGGTTGGGGACGTGGAAACCCCAGGCGGACCACATGGAGACCACAGCGTACGGGGACCAGGCCAAGATGAAGGCGGTGCAGATCACGATCGACACCTGACACACACAAACACACACTTATGTTTAATACACCAACGATGACATGATCAACAACTGAAATAAACACACACACACTTGTGTTTATATATGTGCGTATCTATATATGTGTGTTTGTTTGTGTGTGTGTTTGTTTGTGTGTGTGTGTGTGTGCGTGTGTGTGTGTAGTGTATCCTCACAATGGTGACGTCTCTCTCGATCTTCCTCTGACGGTCGCTCAGGTCTCCGTCCGCATTCATGGCGTTTCCTCTCTTCACCGTGTTGATGATGGAGATGTAACAGAAGAGCATCAGCAGCACCGGCACCAGGAAGCAGAAGATGAAGATGGAGATGATGTAGGACTTGTGGATGGTGGAGTAATTCGCCTTCACCCAGTCGATCTCACACGTGCCGTAACCGCGGTCTGCCACACAAAAGTTGGCACAAAAAGTTATCTAAATGTCATCCAAAAGTATTCAATTATGTTATCATGAATGTAATGTAAATGTAATCCATTAGTAGTCAGATTACTTTATCATAAAGTAATCTAAACGTAATCTAAAAATAGTCAAAATATATTACCATAAAAGTAATCTAAATGTAATCTAAAAGTAGTTTGTTACATCACCATACAATAATCTCAATTTAATCAAACAGTAGTCAGATTACATTACCAAAAAAGTAATCTAAATGTCACCCAAAAGTAGTCAGATTACATTATCATAAAGTAATCTAAAAGTAATATAAATGTCAATCAATAGGATTATATTACCTTAAAAGTAATATAAAAATAATCCAAAAGTAATCAGCAATGTTACCATAAAAGTAATCTAAATGTAATCTACAATAGTCTGTTACATCACAATACAATAATCTCAATTTAATCAAACAGTAGTCAGATTACATTATCATAAAGTAATCTAAATGTAATCTAAAAGTAGTCTGTTACATTACTATAAAAGTAATGTAAATGTAATCCAAAAGTAGTCAGACTACTTTACCATAAAAGTAATCTAAATGTGATCCAACAGTAGTCAAAATATATTACCATAAAAGTAATCTAAATGTAGTCTGTTACATCACCATACAATAATCTCAATTTAATCAAACAGTAGTCAGATTACATAACCATAAAAATAATCTAAATGTCTTTCAAAAGTAGTCAGATTACATTATCATAAAGTAAAATCTAAATGTAATCTAAAAAAGCAATCTAAATGTCAACCAATGTTACTATAAAAGTAATCTAAATGTAATCTAAAAATAGTCTGTTACATCACCATACAATAATCTCTATTTAATCAGAGTAGTTAGATTACATTACCGTAAAAGTAATCTAAATGTCACCCAAAAGTAGTCAGATTACATTATCATAAAGTAATCTAAATGTAATTTAAAAGTAGTCTGTTCAATTACTATAAAAGTAATGTAAATTAAATCCAAAAGTAGTCAGACTACTTTACCATAAAAGTAACCTAAATGTGATCCAACAGTAGTCAAAATATATTACCATAAAAGTAATCTAAATGTAATCTAAAAGTAGTCTGTTACATCACCATACAATAATCTCAATTTAATCAAACAGTAGTCTGATTACATTACCATAAAAGTAATCTAAATGTCACCCAAAAGTAGTCAGATTACATTATCATAAAGTAATCTAAAAGTAATATAAATGTCAACCAATAGGATTATATTACCTTAAAAGTAATATAAAAATAATCCAAAAGTAATCAGCAATGTTACCATAAAAGTAATCTAAATGTAATCTACAATAGTCTGTTACATCACAATACAATAATCTCAATTTAATCAAACAGTAGTCAGATTACATTATCATAAAGTAATCTAAATGTTCCCCAGATATAGTCACATTACATCATTATAAAAGTAATCCAACACTACTCAGATTATGTTACTATAAAAGTAATCTAAATGCAACATCAGTAGTCAGATTACATTACCATAAATAAGTAATCCATCAGATTATATCACTGATAACAGATTTTGTCATGTAATTTGTAATCAGTAAGTGATTATAATTATGTATGTGATTAAAATTGTGTGTGTGTATGTATGTGTGTGTATCTAACCGGTGTAGCTTCCCCATCCAAGAACAGGCGCCGCCGACCAGAAGAACGCACCGATCCAAATAAAGACCACACACACCGCAACAGTGGAGTTGGTGATGCAGTGAGCTGAAAACACACAGAGGAGTCAGAAACACACACACACACACACACACACACTCTGCAGGACAGGAAAGAACACCTTTATGAGGGTGGCAGCCTTTGATGAAGCGTGTGATGCTGATCACCGTCAGTGTGTTGATGCTGCTCAGACCAAACACCAGCGTGAAGAACCCGTCCACCTGACACACACACACACACACACAGGGTTAATTAAGGACAACAACAACACACAGACATGTGTACACACAAAGTGACAACACACAAATACACAAACATACATTTATTGCAGACAGCAACACACATACATAGGTAATGTAAACAAAAACAACAACACACACAGACACAAACACACAGAGATATTCAATTTATTTTCAAAACAATAAACACATGTAGCAAAAAAAAGGAAACGAAGTGTCAAATAGGAAAAAAGCATAATAAGTTACTTAAAATGTGCAATTAAATGCATTTAAAATGATTTATTAATATACATAATTAGTTAAATCATAAAAACAATTTAAAGTATGAATTAAAAATATATAAAATTGTCTATTTACTTATTTATACATTTAATAAATATTTTAATGCTCTGTTTGATTGATTTATTAAATGACATTTAATAGCACAACAGAAACCTTAATATCTCTATTTATTTGTCCATCTAAAATTAGATTTATTTATTTTTATGCTTCAGTTATAAAGTTAAACTCCTGGTCCTCCACAGTTTTGTGCTCATGTCTTATAATATAATAATGTGCATTGTTTATTTGACCACACTGACACAATAAACACAACACTGTAATAAACACACGTGTTACAGGGGATTTAGCTCTGTGTGTATTTGTAACCAAATTTGAACAGCAAACAACAATTACAATATCATGAAACTGCAAAAGCAGCAAACAAAACCCTTTTAAATCATAATATTTCATACGAATGCTCGATGTGTGTTTAATTATTACTGCAGCTCAGAATGTCTGCTATTAACCATAATCAGCTATAATTAAATAAATGAGTTAATGAGCCCTCTGTGAACGTGAGAATGAATCACGTGTGTGCCGCTCGTCATGTGTGTGAAACTCACGCTGCACACAGGCAATAACACACACACACACACACACACACACACTCAACACCTCAGCCATTATCAGTGGTTCTAACACCGTGTCGTTACGCAGCTTCATTAACACACACTGAGAGTCTTTATACACTGGCGGAGGACAGTTCTGTGCCAGGAGAATCACGAGCTCTTCTCCTGCAAACTAAAAGCCTTCATACAATTATTCATCATTTAGTAATTAATCCTGCATTACATTAATAGATCAAGCTTTGTTTGATTTATATAAGCGTCAGGTTGACGCACGTGTTTTATTTGCTATTATACTTTTATTATTATATATACACTGTACACACACTGTTAAAGTCAGAATTATTAGCGCTCCTGTTATATTTAATATATTCATTCATTCATTTTTTGTTAGATTAGTCTCTATTTCAGAGGTCGCCACAGCGGAATGGACCACCAACTATTCCAGCTTATGTTTTATACAGCAGATGACCTTCCAGCTGCAACCCAGTACCGGGAAACACTCATTCACACACACTCATACTCTATGGCCAATTTAGGTCATCAGTTCCCCTATAGTGCATGTGTTTGGACTGTGTGGGAAACCGGAACACCCAGAAGAAACCCACGCCAACATGGGGAGAACATGCAAACTCCACACAGAAATGACTAACCGACCCAGCCGAGACTCAAACCAGCAACATTCTTGCTGTAAGGCCACAGTGCTAACCACGGAGTCACCCAATAACGGATTTCTTTCATCTTTGTCATGATGACAGCACATAATATTAGACTAGATATTCTTCAAGACACTAGTGTTCAGCTTAAAGTGACATGTAAAGGCTTCACTAGGGTAATCAGGGTAAAGTTAGGGTAATTAGGCAAGTCATTGTATAACAGTGGTTTGTTCTGGAGACAATCCAACACTAATATTGCTTAAAGGTGCTAATAATATTGAGCTTAAAATGGCTTTAAAACAAATAAAAACTGCTTTTATTCTAGCCGAAATAAAACAAATAAGACTTTCTCCAGAAGAACAAATATTAGAGGAAACACTGTGAACAACTCCTCAATGTATTGTTTATGACTTAAGAAATATTTTAAAAAGAGTAAATATTGCACAGAAGGCTGAATAATCTGTGTACTCTACACACAGTGCTGAGCATAAATGAGTACACCCACTTTTGAAAAATAAATATTTTTGGACCGGTGGCAAAGAGCTTAGAAAGACCAAGAGGCGACACTCTAGTGTAATTTATTAAACAGCCACTAGAGGGCGCGAAGGCCATTTTGGAATGAAAACTCCAATAGAACTACAGCATATTAAGTCTGTAAAGTATACTATTAAAAGTGCTGATGATTGTGATAATAAGTGCTGTATTGTCATCTTCCATCTCAGCTTTAATGCGCTTTTTAAATAAATAAATAAAAAACAAAGCAGCTGCTTGCCATCGCGACAGTAATGAGATTCAATGGACGGCCGATCACTTTCACTCCAAAATGGTGGAATCCAGGGCTGTTGCGGGGCGCTCCTGTTGCAATGGAACGTTCTTTTGAGTGTCACCTCTTGGTCATTCTAAGCTCTTTGCCGGTGGCCAAGACACTTTGGTCCCCCAGGCTCTGTGATTGGTTGGGAAAGTTTCAAATTGAACCAAAACAAACCATTACAATTGGCTTAAGATTGGCAAGCAAAATTCAGGACATTGCAAACTACAGAACCAGGAAACTTACAAATTTAATTTTAAATTTAATTAAATAAATAAATAAATATTTTTATTAATTTATCATAGAATATTGACAATATATTTTGATACATTTAAACAAATAAGTTTTACTAAATTAAATTTAATTATTTTATTATTATATTCATTAAAATACGAGTTTTGTCACAAAACATCTTTAGGAATCGAAAGATAATGCATTTAAAATACAAATAAATAAATGACTACAAAATTGTAACTACATTTTATTTTTTTTATTTTTTTTCCTGTTTATTAATATTATTGCTATATATTTATATAATATTACTGCATACTCTGGGATCATGCTTGCGTATATTTTTAATTAAATGTTTAACAATTTTCATTTTTTAATAGGTTATCCCCTTTCCTAATGCATTCATTCTGAAACGCTCAATAATAAAGTAAGGAGCTCTTATCCACTGCAAGACGTATCTATTATGCACATCATTAATGAAATCAATTGCATTCATACTCATCCATGCAAATGACCTTTATTTTGAAATATGAAGTAAACAGGAAGTGTTTGTGGAACACCTTAGTTTTGAGAGGAAATGCAAACAATCTTAGCGAGAGAACGCATCACTTTGCAAAGGATTTGCAAAATCCTTCAAAAATAAAATCAGAATTCCTCCCTCCCAGGATTTTTTTCTCCAACCCGTTTTTTCCTCACCACCACGTCCCTTCCGGCTCTCCATAGAACTAATTGTGAACTTGCAGATTTGCTGCTGATTCTTAAAATAACTCAAGTTGAAAGAAAAGATGAACAGTGAAGGTGTGTAGATGAGAAGCGCTGCAGTACCTGGCACGTCCAGACAGAGGAGATGATGTAGCCGCTGTCCTTGAAGATGTTGAAGATCTCCAAGATGCCGCGCGAGTATCCGAACACCGAGATGCTGGCGTCAGAAACAGCCAGATTCAGAGTCAGGTAATCAGTGGGCTGAAGAGTGGAGCGCTGCCTGAAGAGCACGAAGATCACGATACTGTTCCCAAACCACGACAACCAGCCTGATAACACACACACACACACACATTAAAAAAACAAACACACTCAAACAAACAAACACAGAAATACATGCACCATACACAAAAACACACAAGTACACACACACAAAATACACACCAAAACAAACACAAATTTGCGCACACACACGTAGAAATGCACATGAGCAGACACACACATACACGCGCGCATACACACAAACACATACGCGCACATGCAAAAAGACCCATGAACAGACACGTGCGCACAAACACATGCACCAACATACACAAACAAAAACACAAACACACGCGTGCACACACAAACACACACATGCACCAACATACCCACACACCCACAAAAAACACAAACACACGCATGCACGCACGCACACACACACATAAACAAACATGCACCAACATACCTACACAAAAACACACACACACAAACACGCGCGCACACACACAAATACATGTACAAGCACACACATACACAAACAAATGCACAAACACACATGCACACACAGACAAGCACACACACAAACAAAGATACAAACAAACACATATGTGCACAAACACACCCACACAAGCAAACACACACACACACACACACACAAACACCACGCACACACATACAAACAGCATTAATCAAGTGTCATCTTTACAGAAATAATTAATAATTGCGGTCACTTTATCAATGAATAGTATAAAAACTATTATTTTTATTACATTCATGCACAGATAATAATATTACTGAATATACTGAAATGACACTCGCATATTATTTTAAATACTTTATTTAAACATGCATAATGTAACTCAAGTGATTAATTAGTACATAATTATGTCATTTCTTTAGACTTTTACTCCATTTTTAAATTGTAGTTTTGTGCAAGCGCTCATTATTAAGCAAATGTTATATGTAATTTCAACCAAGCTTATTTCAGTTTATCACTAGAATCACTCGAATTTATATTTAAACTATTGAATTCATTAACTATAGAATATATTAATTTAATACACAATTTCATTTATATTTACAATATTACTTTATGTATAATCTTCAAAACAACTTATTTATAATTGTAGGTATATAGTTAAACAGTTAAATAGGTATATAGAATATAGTTATATTGTAGGTATATAGTTAAACAGTTAAATAGGTATATAGTATATAGTTAAATTGTGGGTATATAGTTAAATAGGTAAATAGGTATATAGTATGTAGTTATATTGTAGGTATATAGTTAAACAGTTTAAATAGGTATAGTTAAATTGTTGGTATATAGTTATACAGTTAAAAAGGGAAAAGTTAAATTGTGGGTATATAGTTATACAGTTAAATAGGTATATAGTATATAGTTATATTGTAGGTATATAGTTAAACAGTTAAATAGGTATATAGTATATAGTTATATTGTAGGTATATAGTTAAACAGTTTAAATAGGTATAGTTAAATTGTTGGTATATAGTTATACAGTTAAAAAGGGAAAAGTTAAATTGTGGGTATATAGTTATACAGTTAAATAGGTATATAGTATATAGTTAAATTGTGGGTATATAGTTATACAGCGAAATAGTTATATAGTATATAGTTATATTGTAGGTATATAGTTAAACAGATTTTAAAACTCTAATTAGTTTTTTTTTATATGTACACATATTTACATAATATTACATCTAATCTACATCTTATATTTTCATCTGTAAATATAATGAAGGGTTGAGCAGTGCTGAAGGCCAGTATATTCAGTAAAGAGCGTGAAATGAATAATAGTGTCACAAATGCATACATGAGCACTGTAGTGCATTTAATCACGTGCAGATCTGTTTATTTACAGTGACTTACAAATGAGGATGACACTAATTAAATCAACTAAATAAAGAACAGCATGTGAATACAGTGAGAGGAGTATAACAGTGGAGTGATATGCAAGCGCAGTGCTTTACTGAATGAATGTGTATGCGAGTCTGAGCTCCACAAATAAACTAGTCCTGATTAACCCTCACTAATGAGCAGTGACAGACAGACGGGTGGATTTACTCCTCCATCAGGAACAGGAGATTCAGACCTGAGCTGCACTAATCCACCACTGTGCTACAGCAAACACACTAACCTCTATATCACCCATTACTACATTATATATAACCAGAACTAAAATATTAAATATGTAGTTACAAGCACAAATACAACCATACATTATCCCAACTGTAAAGCAACACAACTATAGGCATGACTACTATATAAAACTACAACTATATTCAGTTTCTAACTATAAGCCTAACCACTATATAACCATAACTATAAGCCTAAACACTATATATAACCACAACTATAAGCCTAACCACAATATATAACCACAACTATAAGCCTAACCACTATATATAAGCATAATTATAAGCCTAACCACTATATATAACCATAGGTATAAGCCTAACCACTATAACCATAACTATAAGCCTAACCACTATATATAAGCATAACTATAAGCCTAACCACTATATATAAGCATAACTATAAGCCTAACCACTATATATAACCATAACTATAAGCCTAACCACTATATATAACCATAACTATAAGCCTAACCACTATATATAACCATAACTATAAGCCTAACCACTATATATAACCATAACTATAAGCCTAACCACTATATATAACCATAACTATAAGTCTAACCACTATATATAACCATAATTATAAGCCTAACCACTATATATAACCATAAATATAAGCCTAACCACTATATATAACCATAATTATAAGCCTAACCACTATATATAACCATAACTATAAGCCTAACCACTATATATAACCATAACTATAAGTCTAACCACTATATATAACCCTAATTATAAGCCTAACCACTATATATAACCATAATTATATGCTTAACCACTATATATAACCATAACTATAAGCCTAACCACTATATATAACCATAATTATATGCTTAACCACTATATATAAGCATAACTATAAGCCTAACCACTATATATAACCATAACTATATGCTTAACCACTATATATAAGCATAACTATAAGCCTAACCACTATATATAACCATAACTATAAGCCTAACCACTATATATAACCATAATTATAAGCCTAACCACTATATATAACCATAACTATAAGCCTAACCACTATATATAACCATAATTATAAGCCTGACCACTATATATAACCATAACTATAAGCCTAACCACTATATATAACCATAATTATAAGCCTAACCACTATATATAACCATAACTATAAGCCTAACCACTATATATAACCATAACTATAAGTCTAACCACTATATATAACCATAATTATAAGCCTAACCACTATATATAAGCATAACTATAAGCCTAACCACTATATATAACCATAACTAGAAGCCTAACCACTATATATAACCATAACTATAAGCAACAATATACAGTACAAAACCATAGCTATAAGCTTAACCACTACATAACTATTTACTGTATAGTATATAACTAAAACTACAAGCATAACCACAACTATACACAGTACATAACCATAACTAAAAGCTTAACCACTTGAACCATGACTATTTACATAACTACAACTATATATATATATATATACCACAACTATACATCAAAACTACAAAATACATACCCACAACTATATATCACTTTTCTGAACATCTCAAACTCAAAGACAATTTACACTGATTAAAAGTCACCAACAAATTTCATCGATTGATATTTTGTTAATATTTGCACCATTTAATAATTAAACCGATTTATCATTTTGTCAGGTTACTCCATTTCTGCCATAGGCCTTGTTTGTTTATTGATATCCAAAACGCTTTTTTAAAAAGCCTAAAAGTTAATCGATTAAATTATTATTTTTAATTTCAGACAGGCACATCATAACTTCATCACACATTTTTTAGAAAATACATATAATCTTGTCGAAATTTAGAAAATGTGCTATTTAATGCATATAAATTAGAAAAGAGTTACAAAATTCAGTTAGAATTGTGGCTATTCACGAATTTCGGGTGTTTTAAATTTGCTTTACTGTTACACAATTTATATTGTTCATTTTAGAGCCAAATTTTGCTATAGCTTTTTTTATATAAAATTTTATCAATTAAATCAGACATAAGTTCTCGACACATTACTGCATATCATAACTTTAATCACACTTACTGTTTTAGAAAATACACGTTAAATCTTGTAGGAATTTTGAAAATGTGCCATTTTTTGCGCAAATTAGAAAATAATTAAAAGACTCAATTTAAAAAGACAGTTATTCGAGACTCTGTTGTTTTAAACTTGCTTTACTGTAAAACATCAGACATCAATCAAACGTTCTCAATATATTATAACTGCGATCACACTTATTATATTAGAAAATACACCTTGTCAGAATCTGGAAAATGCACTATTTCTTGCATAAGTTATTAGAAAACATTTACAAAACTTGAACAGAAATTATCCTTATTTGCAATTTTTTTGTAAACTTGCTTTAGCTGTTACACAAAATCAGACATCAATCAGACATAAGTTCTCAGACACATTATGGCATGTCAAAACTTTAAGCACACTTGTTGTTTTAGAAAATACACAATTAGTTGGAATTTTAAATATTGCAATATTTCTTACGCATTTTAGAAAAGAGATATTAGACTTGATATGAAAGGATTCGCAAATTTCAGTTGTAATGTCATAAAAAATCAGACATAAATCAGACATAAGTTCTCAGACACATTGTATATCATACTTTTTTATAAAATACACCTTATATGTATGTTGGTATTTTGAAAATGTACTCTTTCTTGCGTAAGTTATCCTTGGTTACAAAACTCGACCTTTACTGTGAAACAAAATCAGACATAAGAGCTCAGACACATTAAGGCATATTATAACTTCAATAACTAGGTTTTAAATACACGGTGTCGGAATTTTGAAGAGGTGCTATGTAAATATAACTTAACGGTTACAAAACTCGAATAACTCGATTAAACTTATTTTCCTGTTATACAATAATCAGACATAAATCAGACTCCGACACATTACGACATACCATAACTTCAGTCACTTATTTAAAAAAAAAACACTTTGAATGCTCTCGGGATTGTGGAAGGCATTATTCCTAGCATAAAGATTTACAACTCTCGATTAGAAATGACCGTTACTCGCGAATGATTCAAACTTGCGTTACTGAGCAAAATGCTCGTTGATAAGTCTCTTAAAGTTGCTGGTCGTGATTTAGTGAGGTAAAACTGAGGTGAAGCTGAGGTAAAACTGGGGTAAAGCTGAGGTAGAGTGTGGTAAGTTAAGAGCGGACTGACCGAGTATGAGCAGGTATACACCGATGATGGTCTCCCCCTGATCGGACAGCGGCGGATCGCGGCTCATCAGGCTAAAGTTGTTGTTCCTCCAGGGGATGTTGACCACCTGAAGCGGGTTTTGCGCGGACATGCCGGTCTCTGAGCACTCACACCGGCAGAAATCACGATCCTCCACCGGCGTTCGGTGCTGCTGCTCCCGCTGAGAGGATTATTAAACTACCGCTGTTGAGCGGAGAGACTGACGCGACTGACGCGGGATAATCCATATATAGCCTATACAAAGTCAGTCAGTCAGTCAGTCAGCACTGGACCTGAAAAAACAGTCTAGTCTTTAGTATTTTTAACCATATATATATATATATATATATATATAACCTACAGTATTTACAAATTTTTCAAATGAAGTGCTGCATAATTCTAGCATTAACTAGTGAACTGATATACTGTAGTATATTTTAGTTTTTATTACAGTCTAAATTATAGAGCTTTTGAACAACACAGTAGTGTAGCTTATATAAACTACAGTATTTACAAACCTTTTTTAATGAAGTGCTGCAGCATACTGCAGTATAACTATAGTAGACTGATATACTGAAGTATACTTTCACTACAGTAAACGGTAAGCAGTATAATACACCATATAGTTTTAAGTATTGGGTTGGGTTTTTGTGTTTATATAGAATTACCACAAGAGATAAATTACTATAGTGCCATGTCAACTAGAATTAAGACAACAGATTAATTAGTATAGTTGTTGTATTACCATAGCAACCAAAGAATTACCACAATAGATCAATTACTGCATTGATCAAATACTAAAATTAATGTTACCAGGGCAACAATAGAAGTACCACAACAGATTAATTACTAAACTACAACAACCGAATCATCAAATTACCATGGCACTTGTAGAATTTTCACAACAGATCAGTTACTATATTACCATAGCAACTATAGAATTACCGCAATAGATCATCACTGCATTACCATGGCAACTATAGAATTACTGCAATAGATCATTAATGCATTACTATGGCAACTATAGAAACACCACAACAGATCATTTACTATATTACCATAGCAACAATAAAATTACCACAACAGATCAGTTTCTATATTACCATAGCAACTATAGAATCACCACAACAGATCAGTTACTACATTACCATGGCAACTATAAAATCACCACAACAGATCAATTCCAGTATATGCTATTTCATGGTCCAATACTACGATATTCACTATAAAGTACTATAGTTTTTTCTAAAACTGCATAACCAATCAGAATAGGGGGATTAAGAATTTAAAAGTTTGACTAACATTTGCTTCTCCAAATATTTTCTATTTAACATCTGACAGATGTCTAACACTCATATTAATAATGTGCAAACACAAATTAAAGTCTAAGAGATGCAAAAGCACACGCCAGACAGCGATCTCTGCTGGGTAATGATGCATTTTAAGGTTTCGGGGTTTTCTTGTGAATTTCTTTGCTAAATGTTCAGTTAGTCTTGCAGAATCTGCTTGCTGTCCAAGGTGCTGAACTGGAGGTCAAGGCTCGCTGGTGAAATGATTCTATAATAAACCTCTGGCAGAAAATGTTAGTCACACAAGTGTTTCTACAAGGCCTGATGACTCACCTACAGACCTGCGTGACTACAGGTGTGACTACAGTGTGTTCAGCAATATGGACTCTCTGACGGTGTGCTGGCCGCTCACTGGGAGACTGTGGACTAATAGGATCTGTGATTAAAGAGTTGAGGATCTGGGAAAGAGCAGACGGCTTCAGGATAATCTCTGCTGGTCACGGTCAGACAGGCGCACATACTATCAGACACACAATACACACATACCACAGGGCTGACCAATGTGTGACATGCCCATCAATAATAACTATAATATATTATATACAGTAATGTGTTACAGTAATATAGGAATATAACAGCTTCAGTTGAGTTTATTTTATATAGTTGAAGTCGCCCTTCTGTGAATTTGTATTCTTCTTCCAATATTTCCCAAATGATGTTGAATAGATTCAGGAATTGGTCACAGTGTTTCCTCTAATGTTTGTTCTGCTGGTGAAAGTCTTATTTGTTTTATTTCAGCTAGAATAAATGCAGTTTTTAATTGTTTTAGACCCATTTTAAGGTCAATATTATTCGCCCCTTCAGCAATATTAGTGTTGGATTGTCTCCAGAACAAACCACTGTTATACAATGACTTGCCTAATGACCCTAACTTTACCCTAATTACCCTAGTGAAGGCTTTACATGTCACTTTAAGCTGAACACTAGTGTCTTGAAGAATATCTAGTCTAATATTATGTGCTGTCATCATGACAAAGAGAAAATAAATCAGTGATTTAGTTATTAAAAGTATTATGTCTAGAAATGTGTTGAAAATAACTTATGTCTATTAAACAACACTTGGGAAATATTTAAAAGCTAATAATTTTGACAACTTTACAGCTATACATTCATTTAATTTATTATTTATTTTCAAAAACATTTAATGAGTACCAAATATGGCCATCAAGCTTGTTAATAAGCTTTATTTCCAGAACCAGAACCTTACTTTCTCTCTTGCTAAGAGTAATTTTCCAGTAATAAAGTTAATAGATTAAAATTAACTAATAATTAAATGAATAATAATAATAATAATAATAAACTATAATCTCTCAATCCCTGAGCTCTGCACTGGTTGTGGAAATTCTAAATCCACCCAATACAACTGAATGTGATTGTGAATTAGTGTTGCCAAGTATTTCCAATAAAAAGTAGCTAAAGCCTGCCCGAAAAGTAGCTAAATGTTGTCAGATGACGTCACACACTAATTTGCATAACCATGACATCATCACGTAGTATCTGAAAAGCGTAAGCCCATCATGTCTCTACTCTCTAAGGTGCCATGTACTATAATACATTAAAAACATTACATTCAGATGCAAAATAAAGTTTTTTTTTTAACATATTACTTTGCGAGAAGTTGTCATTGCATAATCGCTACTCAAAACTACATCTTTATGTATTATACAAAACAATGAATGTTTTCTCAAATTGACAGGCCATCTCAGCAAAAACATTGTTTGAAATATGTCCATTTAGATTTGTATGAAAAATATAGATATATTTTTAAAAGTACAAACACTTTTTGAACACATTTGTGAAAGTGACAACAATTATAGCACTATTGGAATTTATTGCTACCTAAATTACCAACAATTATACACGTTAACAAACACCGGTAAATTAACAGTTCTAAAAAACAATCTGAGCTAACGATTTCCTCTACTGAGTGAAGCCTGCAGCCACTGCTCTTATAAGTCAGTTTAAAACTTGCTAAAAGTTGCCAAATTAATGTTTAACATTGCTAGATTTGTTGCGAGGTGATTTTAGAAAAAAAAATATATATTGCTAGGGTAATATGTAAAGCTGCTAAAAATTGCTAAGTTGGGAACACTGGTGGTGTTTTAACTGGTGTACTGAGAGCCATGAAAAAAAACATTTAATAAAAACTAATTTGTAAACTATTAATTTTTAAAAACGTATATGTTGTTTTGTCTAAAAGTCAGCTTCAGCTCCAAATTACATTAATATTGCTTCTAATATAATCTCATCATATCATACTGTATAAGATGATTTTACAGTACATAGTAGAACAAAAACACATGCATTTATTAATATTACTACTATTATTATATTAATTAATAACTTTAATCATCATCATCTTTATTATTAGCATTATTATTATTACCACTATTTTTCATTCATTTTCTTTTCGGCTTAGTTCTTTTATTAATCTAGAATACACAGCAGAATGAACCACCAACTTATTTAGCATGTCTTTTACACAGCGGATGCCCTTCCAACTGCAACCCAACACTGGGAAACACTCATACACTCTTGCACACACTCATACACTACGGCCAGTGTAGTTGATCAGTTCCCCTATAGCGCATGTGTTTGGACTGTGGGGGAAACCGGAGCACCCGGAGGAAACCCACACCAACACGAGGAGAACATGCAAACTCCACACAGAAACACCAACTGACCCAGCCGAGACTCAAACCAGCGATCTTCTTACTGTGAGGCGATTGTGCTACCTACTGCGCCACCGTGCCACCCTAGCACTATTATTATTAGCAGTTTTATCATCATTATTATGACTATTATTAATTGTCTCCAGATTCAGTAACTGGCCTGTTTCATTCAGTCAGATTGTTGGATGATGATTTGGAGTGTCACACACAGGATCCAGCAGTTTGATGAGCACGAAAACACACACACGCACGCACGCACGCACGCACGCACGCACGCACGCACGCACGCACGCACACACACACACACACGCGCGCGCGCACACACACGCACACACGCGCACACACACACACACACGCACGCACGCACGCACGTGAAGAAACACATGATGTTTTCATATTATGGTCGGGTCAGATCAGTTTGGGACAGGGTTCAACCCTCCTGCAGAGACTGATCCGGAATCAGCTCAGAGACACAAACAGAAACACTCAAGCATCATCACTGTGGGACGCCTGATTAACCAAAGGGCAGAGCGTGCGCGCTCACACACAGACAGACACACACACACACATACACACAGTAACTGAATATTTTAAAAAGGACCCATTATGGGGTGGGGTGGGGGGAATGTAAACCCAGTTGTGTGTCCGCAGTGTGTGATTATATCCAGCCTCTAATGCTCATCATGTATTAATTGTGTTTGTTTCAATCAAACTTGATGAAATCAGTCTGTAGAAACACTTTGATTGACATTCTCTTGCTGTACGTGTCATCAGAGGAGGAAAGCCCCGCCCACTAGTGCCCATCTCTCCATCTCATTTGCATAAACAGCAGCCCTGAGTCAGAAGCAGCCATCTGTCCATTAGCCATAGTTTCTCAACTACATGTATGCATGTATATATATACACAATATACTGAATATATATATATAAAAATCACTGCAGGGCTAGATTTATCATCAAAAATAGACAGAGCACAGCTAAAACACTGCAATTTATACCCGCAAATAATCTGAAAACACCTGCAAATCACAGAATATGGAAACTGTTAAACGCTTTTACAGTGTGTGTGTGTGTGTGTGTGTGTGTGTGTAAATCATTAAGTTGATAAAGATTAGTAAACAGCATGAAAAAGCAGGTCAAATGAGCTCTATAGCAGACGGCGTGAGTGAATGGTGTCAGTGATTATGGTCTGT